ATGCTGCATATATATGTCATATATATATATATATATATATATATATTTGTATGTACATTGAGGTCCCTTTTAAATATTTTGTTGCCTCCCTATGTCACAAAACTTTAGACTGGAGCGTTGGTCGGGAAGCTTGCTCAAGCGTCTTCCTTTGATTGGCGTCTAGAGTTCGAAATCAGTTCCAGCATTTGTTTCTGATGTTTTTTTCTTTCTTTTTTTGAATTCAAAGAAAGTCTACTCTTGCAAAAACTGAGTATGACAAACGGTACTTTCCTAATTCCTTAGTCATTTCTTTGTTTTTATTATTTTCCACCTTTTGTCTGGCCTTGTTTCTTACAATTCTTACCGACAGTGTCCTCATCATTATTTTTCATTCTTCTTTTGGCCCTTTTTCCTTTTCCTTTAATTCTTTTCTACATCTATTAATTTCTAATCCATTTGCATTATTTTTGCACACGCTCTCTCTCAGGGATGTTACAATAAATTTAACACATCTTGTTTTTATTTGTATAATTGTTAGAATGGATGTGGTTCTGTATAATTTATAAAATGCTAGTAAAACGTACATTTCTCATCTTGACGTAGAAAATTTGATTAAATTAAAGCTAAATCTATTTAATTAATTGGATTATCGATTTGTATATATAAGTTGAATAAATATCACAATCAATGTACATAGGTCGAGTTGGTTCGGATTTTGCAATTACCAAACCAAACTAATTGTGGCAGGTTATTAAATCTAAAGACCAAACCAAATCAATGAAACTCGAGTTTTTCAATCTCGATTTTCTCGGGTTTTCCGGTTATTCGGGGTTTTTTCCCGGTAAAATCTTTGTAGCACAAAGCATATAACTTGTGCTCAAAATATCTCATATAACTTGTGCTCAAATATAAAGTACATCACAATAAATATATTTATATATTAAATATATCTAAACTTTCTATATATGTAATTTCGGGTTGGTTTGATTTCGTTTGACTTTCTTTAGTTAAAACCAAATCAAACCAATTATGGTCGGATTTTTTTTCCAACACCAAATCAAATCAAACCAAACCATAATCGGATTTTTTTCTTGATTTGACTCGGATTATCGGGTTGGTGCGATTTATCGGTTTTCCTTTGTACACCCCTATATGGCAAGAGCCGACTGTATGGACTAAGACAAGATGCACCCGCCGTCAATAAATCTTGGGTTCGCCTCTGCATGCAGCATTTGCAAGGCATGGGTGTGTATTAGCGGCGTATACACGACAAGGCATGTGCTCAGCATGAGTGCATGTCCGCTTGGCGCCAAAGTTAGCGCTTTGCACCAAGGCAAGCGGTTGACAAAAGCATGATGGATTCATGATAGCAGTTGGCAGATAATTGAGGCAAGTCTATTTGCATTTTTAACTTCCTTAATTTGCCACTTTTTTGTAGTTTATCCAACATTGAAATTGTGGCACGCGGAAGTGTCACACTGACAACAAATGGTTGCTTCTTTTTTTGCTAAGACCCTAAGATATTGCGCCTTGCAGCTGGGAATGTCAACTACAAGATAATGGTTGTGAGGCCTAGTGCCAAGTGTCTCTGACCAAGTAACTGTCCTCGGCAGTGTAAAAGCCCAAGGCTACTGCTGGCATTGGCATTGGCATTGTGAGATGCATTAAAGCATTAAGTGTTGTGCATTGTGCCAACTCGTGTATTGACTTTATATTTGAGAGAAATATAAGGTTGAAAGTATTTTCTCGTAAATCTAAGTGTCTTTACGCTTTGTCCTTGAAAATAAATCCAAGTCCGGCGAACACCTATTGTGGTAAGGTTGGGTAAAGTGGCTCGACAATCGCTCGGGAAAAAATTTGTAGTAATTATTGGATCACCAGTTCTTGATCAATTTATTTTTAGTATTTATCTCTTTAGATTAGATTGCATTTATCTTCTAGAATAAGATGATATTATAGTTAGGCATTTAGAATTATCCCTTTGATTTAGATAAGATTCATCAGTTATTAGGTTTACATAGAACTCTACAAAGATGGTTACTGTAACTGGTATTTAAATTCATTGAGGTATTCAATAACAGATACAATATTTTCCATCATCTACTCAAGTCTTTATATGGTATCAGAGCCTATACTACTCTAACGAGCTAGATCCTTTTTTTTTTCCTAACACCAAATCCTCCAATGACGAAAGATGGAAACACAACCAGAGTTGTCAATGCCGACAATACTGCTGGTACCATTACCATAGTTCAGTTCAACCCCGCTTCCCAACTACCTATCAAACTTAGTGGCAGTCACAATTTTGCTACTTGGAAAGCTCAGTTCTCCATGCTTATGTATGGTCATGACCTCTATGGTCATCTTGATGGATCCACCCCAGTCCCCATTCCGAGCACCACTTTTGGAACCAACACAACCCTTAATCTTGCTTATACACTTTGGTTCCGTCAGGATCAACTTATTCAAAACGCTCTTATGGCTTCGTTGACCCTACCATAGCCTCCACAGTTGTCGCTGCTAACACATCAAAACAGGCTTGGGACTCTTTGCACACTGCCTACGCAAACAAGTCCCAGACCCGAATCTTCAGTCTTCGTGATCAACTTGGCCGAATCACCAAAGACACCACTCCTATCACCGAGTACCTTCAACGTATTTGGTCCCTTTCAGATGAACTTTCTACTGCCGCTACCTCTGTCACTAATTCCGAACTCATAGTCAAAATTCTTAGTGGACTTGGCCCTGAGTTTCGTAAGATCTCGACTGCCATACGGGCACGTGATACTACAGTTACTTATTAAGAACTATATGAAAAGCTGCTTGACCATGAGCTCTTTCTTCGGCATGAGGAAGCTAAGAAAACCCCTGGTCTTATCACATCAACTGTTGCCACTCACAACAAGTCAAATAACAACTCCAACAATCGCAATAGTCACCGCCAATACTACAACAACAACAACACTAATAACTCTCAACCATGGCGCCAGAATGCTCCCCCCAATAATGTCAACCAATAACATCCCCCAAACAATAACACCACTACTGTTATTCGTTGTCAATTATGCAACAAGATTGGCCATGTTGCAAGTGTTTGCCGATCCAAGTCACACAATCACTTTGAGGCTAAAGCCAATTATATCACAGGTTTCAACACTACTGCTAACCCATGGATAGTTGACTCTGGTACCACACATCACATCACAACGGAGCCGCATAACCTACAACCGTACCATGGTAACGAGAATGTCTCCATGGGTGATGGTAACAAAATTCCCATCTCACATACTGGTTCTACATAGTTACAAGCATCAAATAATGTTTTTAAGCTAAATCATACTCTATGTGCTCCAGCCATTAAACGCAATCTTATATCTGTATCCAAGATATGTCATGATAATCTAACATCTATTGATTTTTTTCCCTTTCTTTTGTTGTGAAGGATCTGAAAACGCGAACCCCGCTGGTGTACGATCGGAAGAAACATGGACTGTATGAGTGACCCAATTCACATTGGCATAAAAGATTGGGTCATCCGTACTCTAGAGTCCTTAATTATGTCTTGAATAAATTCCCGCTACCATTTGTTGAACGAGATAAGTTTCATTATTGTAATTCCTGTTTGTCTAATAAATCCCATCGGCTTCCGTTCCACACATTAACTTTGGAAAGCTCTAAACCGCTTCAAATTATTTTTAGTGATTTGTGGGGGCCCTCTCATGTTTTGTCCCTTGATAAAAAATTATATTATTGCATCTTTGTTGACCAGTACACAAGATACAAAGATACACTAAAAAATAAAAGCGAAGTGAAGGAGTTGTTCCAAATTTTTTATCCTTTAACAGAAAAATATTTCGATACCAAAATTCAATCGCTTTATACTGATGGTGGAGGAGAGTATAAAAGTTTTGACTCTTATCTCTCCCATCATGGTATCGAACATCTTTCCACCCCACTCTATACGCCTCAATGAGTTGCTCTTGCTAAGCGTAGATATTGTCATATTATTGAAACTGCAAGAACAATTTTACATGAGGTGTCTCTTCCATTGATTTTTTGGTCCTTCGCATGTCACCATGCTATGTATTTAATTAATCGTCTACCCACATCACTCTTGAATAACTCTTCCCCGTTTGAAAAATTATTNAGCTCAGTCCACCATATCCGGCGCAACACCAGCGGAAGATGCGGATTCCCCTCCTTCACAAAGCTCTACTCCAGGTATGTGTACTACTTCTCCTCTAACTCTAATTCCCCAAGATCCCTGCTTCCCAAACCCATCCCCTAAGCCTTCTGTGAGACCCCAAGCCTCCAAACCTCCTATAAAATCACCCACTCCATCTCTGATAGTATACAATCGGCGTTCCCCACACCCCAAATCCACCACTTCAATGGCACCTTCCCCTGCTCCACTACACGTACCCACCCCTCCAACACGTATAGTCACTCGCTCACAGAACAACATCCAGAAACCAAAATAGATTTTTGATTACCTAGCCTACTCAGAACCATCCCTTGTACCACACACCTTCAAACAAGCCCAAAAGCACCCTGAGTAGAGGAAAGCCATGAATTCAGAATTTGATGTTTTACTGAAAAACCATACTTGGGAACTAGTTCCATATGGCCCCTCTAAGAATGTTGTTTCATGTAAGTGGCTTTTCAGGATTAAAAAGAAAGCAGACGAGTCAATTGATCGTTACAAGGTGAGACTAGTTGCAACAGGATTCACTCAGAGGTCGGGCATTGACTTTCACTCGACTTTCAGTCCGATTGTTAAATCCACTATTGTGCGAATCATACTTGTTGTTGCCCTTCGGTTTCACTGGCCCCTTCGTCAACTCGACATCAACAATGTTTTTCTTCAAGGTGACCTTGAAGAAGAAGTGTACATGATGCAACCTCCGGGCTTTACTTGTGTTGATAATCCAACTCATATTTGTAAGTTGCGCAAGACAATCTATGGCCTGAAGCAAGCTCCTTGAGCTTGGTATAATGCGCTCAAAGGCCATCTTGCCCACATGGGATTTTCTAAGGCAGAATCTGACAACTCATTATTCATTAGAAATAGTAATGCTGGTTTCATGTTTATTTTGGTATATGTTGACGACATAATAGTAACTGGAAGCAACTCCATCACCGTCAATGAAGTTATAGCCCCTCTTGCCTCTCGCTTCTCCATTAAATATTTGGGAAATCTCAGTTATTTTCTTGGTGTTGAGGTGGTTCAAAATGCTGATGACATTATTCTCTCGCAAGCCACTTATATCAATGAAATTCTGAATGATGAGTTGATGGTTGATTGTAAGAGCGCAAACACACCGATAAGTGCTTCTGAGTTGCTCAAACTCAATGATGGGGCTCTGTTAACTGATGCGACTCGCTACCGTCGAGTCTTGGGCAGACTTCAATATCTTTCATTTACAAGGTCGGACATTTCCTATGTAGTCAACAAATTATCCCAATTTATGCAATCACCATCTAATCTTCACTGGAAAGTTGTGAAGCGAGTTCTTAGGTACCTTCATGGTACGATCAAGTTTGGCCTACGTGTATCCCCGAATTTTGATTTCAATTTGCGTATGTACTCTGATGCGGACTGGGCTGGAGATCTCACTGATAGATCCTTCACATCCAGCTATATTCTGTTTCTTGATAGCAATCCTATCAGTTGGTCCTTTAAAAAGCAAAAGATTGTAGCTCGCTCATCAACTGAAGCTGAATATAGAGTTGTTGCCAATGCACTCACCGAACTACTGTGGGTCAGAAACCTACTACTTGAGATGTGACTCCCTGTCAGAGATACCCCTACTATCTACTGTGACAACATTGGTGTCACTTATCTAAGCGAGAATCCGGGCCTTCATAGTCGCATGAAACATATTGAGGTAGACTTTAATTTTGTGCGAAACAATGTTGAACAGAAGGTTGTTCGAGTTGTTCATGTTCATTCTGCTGACCAATTAGCTGATATGCTCACGAAAGCACTGGCCAAACCAGCCTTTGAACATAATTTGTTCAAGTTAGGCTTAGTGACACATAGCCTAACTTGAGGGGGCATATTGGATCACCAGTTCTTGATCAGTTTGTTTTTAGTGTTATCTCTTTAGATTAGATTGCATTTATCTTCTAGAATAAGATGATATTTGTGAATGGTTGACAACGCTTGAGGCCTTAGTGGTTCTATCACAGAGGGCGTGTTGGATTTTGTATTTGTTATTGCTGATATTTGATTTACCAGAATAATAAGTAGTTTAGTCGTAGGAGGAGTTTTTGTTTAAACTTAAATTTAATAGGATAAGTTAGTTGAGATAGTTTAGGTTTTTGAATTCGAATATTTATTCTCCAGATTTTCTATGGATTCTGTTTTTAAATTGGCTATTTAAAGCCTTGTTATACTTAATAAATCATTGAGAGACATTTTCAATTAATATTTTTAATCTTTTTGCTGCCCCATCTTTTAAAAAACCAACAGTGGCATCAAGAGCTCCATTGGTCTTACGGGATCTATGAGTTCTTCCAAAGAACCATTTTCAAATCATTTTTAACCAATATAAATTTTTAAACCCATTTTCAAACATGGCAAACAACAGTCTCTCTTTGAATGCCCCACAAACTTTTACTGATGAAAACTTTCATATTTGGTCAGTGAAGATGAAATCTTATTTTGAAGCTTTTGAAAAATCAAAGAAAGTTGTGATCTTTGCAACAAATAAACACAATGAAAAAATAGAGAATGCAAGATTGAAATTGTTGAGCATTTTACATGTTAATTTTGAACCTACTGTTGCTGCTATATATTACATTACTTTGAAAGGCATGAATTTTTCTTCTGAAAAAAATTCTTCACTACCAAGCCAAGATCCGGAGAAAAATCAACATTGGTTACCAAGTTGAGATCTTTCGACTTGTTCCTTATGTGATAAAATTTTTGAGATTGTTTTTTATGCGCAAAACCAAAAAGAAAAAAAAAAAGAAAAGAGAAAGAACAAGTCTTGCATATGGATGCAAGTTCAAAAGCACTTGAAAGAATGCACAAACACAAATTGCCAAAGTAGAAATTGAGGAAGATTAACCCAATGCAACAACAAAAGCAAGGAGGAGTGTTGGATTTTGCATTTGTTACTGCTGATATTTGATTTACCATAATAATAAGTAGTTTAGTCGTAGGAGGAGTCTTTGTTTAAATTTAAATTTAATAGGATAAGTAAGTTGAGATAGTTTAAGTTTTTGAATTCAAATATTTATTCTCCAAATTTTCTGCAGATTCTGTTTTTGAATTGTCTATTTAAAGCCTTGTTATGTTTAATAAAATTATTGAGAGAATTTTTTAATCAATATTTTTAATATTTTTGTTGCCCCATCTTTTAAAAAACCAACAGGGCGGCAATATGCCACTCACTCTCATTTGAATGATTGTCAAACTTAGACCAAGGGAAAGGGCTTTAACAAGTCTTATGATGAGGAAATGGAATAATTTTATTAAGAGAATGAAGATTTGGACACATAATTGATGATACTTCTAAGGCTATTGGCAATAATTCCCCACGAGGCATTGTCCGCCCCAAAAGTCAAAGTCCTTGACTCGAAGTCATTTGGAGGAACAAGAAATGCCAAGAAATTGGAGAATTTCTTGTGGGTATGGAGAGGTTTCTCGTTGTTGTATGTCTGCATGAGGAAGCTATAACTAACAGTACTTTTTTGAGAGGATCTAACAATACTTGATATTGTATAATAAAAGATTCGATGTTGTTCCTTAAAAATGGAGTGAGTGAACTTAGTACTTAAATCGCATTAAATTAACTGTTTCATATGAGATTTTGACTCTAGTAGAGATAACCGCTGAATGCCTTACACGGTTAGCCATGGCAAGATTAGGGTCAGTTGAGTACTACTGGTACAATTATCTTATAGTAGGCGTTTCACACTTTTGACCTTTTCTTTAAGGAAAAAAAGTACCTTGATCACTCCTAAAAATATGTCTATACCTAGTCTATTGACTAGTTTCTTGCTCAGTTTCAAGAAATAATTGGATTTGGTTGAATGCCTTAAAATTCATGAAAAGATAATACCTTCCACGCATCTCTAAGCGATGAAAACACCCCAATAAGCATATGCATGGTAGTTTTGGATTAAAATAGTCTATTATAAAAATTATGACTAAGTTTTGTAACATCTCAAAAAATGGAAGAGTGACAAAAATATAGGGACAAAGCATTTCTTTTGTGCTAGTACTATCATAATGAAGTTGTTGCAGTTGTCTCAAATATTGCAATGTTGTTGCAATTAATAAAATCAGGAGCTTAGTTGGGCTGCAAAAGTTGAAGAATACACACCAGATTGTGTTGACTCTCTTGTAGATATTTAAGATTTTGTTTTTCTTTTTGGAAGATTGATAGCTATCTTCAAATTTAGTTCCTCCTTTTTAGTTAACAATAGAGTTGTTTTGCATATTATTAACAGTATTTTATTGACAGTCAGTTACTGACTTTATGTATTTAAGCAAGCTTTCATGATCAATAGAAACACAGGCCTTTCAAGTCACTTTACTGCTCTCTGCTATTAATAGCATTAACAGTGGTATCAAAGCTTTTTGATCTTAAGGAACATGTGAGAGTGTGAGTTATCAACTGAGTGAAAATCCAAACACTTAATCAGACCATCCATAAAATCGGCTTAAAAAATTATGGAAGGTGAGAATTTTTTTTCATCAATTGCTCCACCAGTTTTTGATGGAGAAAACTATCAGGTTTGGGCTATTAGGATAGAAGCCTACATAGATGCATGTGATCTCTTGAGGCAGTAGAGGAGGATTATGAAGTTCCTCCTTTACCAGGCAATCCTACCATGACTCTGATCAAAACTCAAAGAAAAGAAGACCAGGAAGTCGAAGGCGAATGCGTGTCTCTGTGCTGCAATATCTTCTACTATTTTTTCCAGAATCATGACTCTTAGTTCGGCTAAGGTAATCTGGGACTTTCTAAAAAAAGAATATTATGGAGATGATAAAATTCGAGACATGAAGGTCTTAAACCCGGTGAGGGAATTTGAAATGCAAAAAATGAAGGAATCTGAAAATATTAAGGAGTACTCAGATAGACTTATCAATCTAGCAAATAAGGCAAAGTTACCTGGCGCCGAACTTTCTGACAAAAGAATTGTACAAAAAATTCTTGTTACTTTACTTGATAAGTTTGAAGCAACAATTGCTTCGCTGGAAAATACAAAAGATCTGTCAAACATTAGTTTGGCGGAACTTTTAAACTCTTTGCAAGTACAGGAACAAAGAAGATTGATGAGGAACGAGGGAGCTGTTGAAGGATCTTTGCAAGCAAGGTAACTATTCAACTCTGGCAGCAAGGGCAAAAAGAGTTATTCTACGTCAACAGAAGTTGCTGCAACTGATAATAGCAATAACAATAAAAGTGGAAAATATCTACCTTGCCAGCATTGCTGGAAGAGAAACCATCCACACTTCAAGTGTTGGAGAAAACTTGATATGAGATGCAGAAAGTGTCATAAACTTGGACATGCAGAGACTATTTGTAGAGATAAAGGACCACAACAATCAAATGAAGCACAAATTACAGAGCAACAGGAAGAAGAGCAATTGTTTGTGGCGACATGTTTTGCAAGCAAAAGTTCAAGTGAAAGTTGGTTAATTGACAGTGGTTTTACAAATCATATAACTCGTGATAAGGAAATTTTCAATGTGTTAGACAAATCTATAATCTCTAAAGTCAAAATTGGTAATGGTGATTATCTTTCTGTCAAAGGGAAACACACATTAGCTATTGAAAGTTACTCAGGTACAAAGTTAATTACAGATATGCTCTTTGTTCCTGAAATTGATCAAACAATTTGTTGAGCGTAGGGCAGTTTTTGGAGAATGGTTTCAAGCTTATTTTTGAGGACAGGATGTGTGTGATCTTTGATCCAAAGGGTCAAGAAGTCTGTCGAGTTAAAATGAGAGGAAGAAGTTTTTCCTTTGATCCAATGGATGAAAAGTTGGCTGCCTATCCAAGCCACGTGATAACTGCAGATGTATGGCACAAGAGACTTGGGCATTTCCATTAGATGACACTCTTTTACATGTCAAAGAAAGATATGGTTCAGGGACTACCACCTATGGAGGAGGAACACTCAAACTGCAACACATGTCAATTGGAAAAGCAAAGCAGGATGCCTTTTCCCTAGGCAACCTATAGAGCATCAGTGAAACTTCAATTAGTCCATACCGATTTGTGTGGACCACATAAGACTACTTCTCTCAAAGGAAGTAAATATCTCATAGCATTCATTGATGATATGACAAGAATGTGTTGGATTTATTTTCTCCGATTCAAATCTGAAGTACCTGAAGTGTTCTGGAAATTCAAAGTGGCTGCAGGATGCAAATGTTGAGATCAGATAATGGTACTAAGTACACATCGGATCGATTTGAAACGTTCTATGAAAATGCAGGAATTGAGCATCTACTCACTGCCCCATATACTCTGCAACATAATGGGGTTAGTGAAAGGAAGAATAGAATGATAATGGAGATGTCAAGGTGCTTGTTGTTAGAATAGTTATGTAAATACTAAATAGTAGTAAATAACCTTAATCCCATATGTATTAGGAGTATGACATATTATGTATATATATATAGGGCTCATTGTATCTAGTTTAACATATGAGAATAATAGCAATAATATTTTCTCCCGTACTTTCTCACATGGTATTAGAGCAACCGTGAGAAAATTTATCGCTGTGCATAAATTCCAGCGACTCTGGGAAGAGAAACAGTCATCCGGAAGCCCTTTTTTCGGGCAAAAACAGTCTGTCCGCAAGAATAATACTATCCGTCAGTGTTGTGCAAAAAAACCAACACCACCGGAAAGTAAATCAGAGCTGGGCGACCAACCCAATAAAAAATCTTCGGCAAAACAGGCTGCACGCGCCCCCACGCGCCGCTGGAAGAATTTCTCCGGCGAAGATCCGAAGCCCACGCGCCGGCGTGTGAGGTACTTTCCGGGTATTTTTTGATGAAGTTCCTTCAGAGCAGTTGGATCGACCTCAAATTCCGAGCCTACCCATAATTTTATTTTTTAATTCTGACCATTTTTGAGTTTTTCCAGTGACTACACTGATTTTTTTCGGCAGCTACAGTAATTTTTCGGCAAAAACAGTGTTTCTTTCATCTGTTTTAGCGAGTTTTTAGTTGATTCTTTCTATTATTTGGTGATAATCTTATAGACATCACTTCAATCCAACGATGTCTTTGGGAGTCGATGACTTCGGGTCTAAAAACCAGGGTTCTGGCAATTCCGGTGTTATGATTACCTCAGAACCTTTAATGAGAAGTTCAAACTACTTAGCTTGGGCTTCGTCTGTCGAGTTGGGGTGTAAAGGTCAAGGTGTTCAAGATCATATAATCACGAAGTCTAGTGAAGGAGATGAAAAGGCCAAAGCACTTTGGGAGAAGATTGATGCTCAATTATGCAGTATTCTGTGGCGATCTATTGATTCCAAGTTGGTGCATTTGTTTCGTCCATTCCAGACATGTTATTTGGTTTGGGAAAAGGCTCGCACTTTATACACTAATGACATATCTCATTTCTATGATGTGATATCGCGGATGACAAAAAAAGAAACATGAATTAGATATGTCTACTTACTTGGGACAAGTACAAGCAGTCATGGAGGAATTTGAGAAGTTGATGCAAGTTTCTGCTAGTGTTGCAAAGCAGTAAGAGCAGCAACAAATGATGTTTCTAGTTCTTACTCTTGCTGGGCTTCCTAATGATCTTGACTCAGTATGCGATCAGATTTTGGCTAGTCCGACTGTCCCCGCAATTGATGAATTATTCTCTCAATTACTTCGCCTTGCTGCAGCACCAAGTCACCTAGTGATCTCATCACAGACACTTGACTCATCTGTTCTCCCATCCCAAACAGTGGACAATCGTGCATCTCATACTATGGAGAATAGACGAGGAGGCGGTCCTTTTGGAAGATCTAGACCCAAGTGCTCTTATTGTCATAAACTTGGACACACTCATGACGTGCGCTATTCTTTACATGGCCGCCCACCCAAAAATGTTTATATTGCTCAGACTGAGACTACAGGTAACCATGGATTTTCTTTATTTGAAGGGGAGTATAATGAGTTCCTTCATAGACGTTTAGGACATCCAAGCTTATCCAAGCTTCAGAAGATGGTGCATAGTTTGTCTAGTTTATCAACATTAGAGTGTGGGTCGTGTCAGCTTGAAAAATATACCCGAGCCTCCTTTCCTCGTAGTATTGAGAGTCATGCAGAGTCTGTTTTTTCTTTAGTTCATTCTGATATATGGGGTCCTAGTAGAGTCAGTTCAACCTTGAGATTTTGTTATTTTGTTAGTTTCATTGATGATCATTCAAGATGTACTTGGATTTTCTTAATGAAAAATCGTTTTGAGTTGTTTTCTATATTCGAGAATTTTTGTGCTAAAATTAAAAATCAATTTGGTGTTTCTATTCGCACATTTCACAGTGATAATGCCTCAGAATATTTATCCTCTCAATTTCTGTAGTTTATGACTTCTCAAGGAATTATTCATGAGACCTCTTGTCCTTATACCCCTCAGCAAAATAGGGTTGCAGAGAGAAAGAATATGTGCATTATTGAGACTGCTCGCACACTTCTCATTGAATCTCATATTTCGTTGTGTTTTTGGGGCGATGCAGGTCTCACAGCTTGTTATTTGGTTAATCAGATGCATTCATCTCCCATCCAAAATCAGATTCTGTATGCAGTATTGTTTCCCCAGCCACCCTTATACTCTGTTCCCCCTCGTGTTTTTGGGAGCACTTGTTTCGTTCATAACTTAGCCCCTGGGAAAGATAATTTAGCTCCTCGTGCTCTCAAGTGTGTCTTCCTTGGTTATTCCCGTGTTCAGAAGGGATATCGTTGTTACTCGCCTGATCTTCATAGGTACTTTATGTCCTTTGACGTCACATTTTCAAGTCTAAACATTTCTTTACCTCTTCTGACCATTCTGACCACCTTGATATATTTAAGGTCTTACCTATACCGACCTTTAAGGAGTCTACTATAGCTCCTCCTTCACCTTCCGCCATGGAAGTCTTACCAATTCCAACCGTAGGGGAGTCCAGTGTGGCTCCTCCTAGACTCCCCGCCACAGGAACACCACTCTTGGCATATCATCATCGTCCGCACCCAGAATCAGGCCCAACTAATTCATGTCCTGTACCTGACCCTGCTCCTACTACGGACTTGTCTCTTCCTAGTACACCGATTTCACTTCGGAAAGGTATACAGACACCCTTAATCCTAATCCCCATTATGTCAGTTTAAGTTATCATCGTTTGTCATCACCCTATTATGCTTTTCTATCTTCTTTGTCCTATGTTTTCATCCCTAAGTCTACAGGTGAAACATTGTCTCATCCAGGATGGCGACATGCAATGATTGACGAGATGTCTGCTTTACATACGAGTGATACTTGGGAGCTCGTCCCCCTTCCTTCAGGTAAATCTACTGTTGGTTGTCATTGGGTGTATGCAGTCAAGGTTGGTCCGGATGGTAAGGTTGATCGTCTTAAGGATTGTCTTGTTGCCAAGGGATTTACTCAGATATTTGGGCTCGATTACAGTGATACCTTCTCTCCCATAGCTAAGATAGCATTAGTCTGCCTTTTTCTATTCATGGCTGATGTTCACTATTGGCCCCTCTACCAGCTGGACATTAAGAATGCTTTTTTACACATTGACCTTGAGGATGAAGTTTATATGGAGCAACCACCTAGGTTTGTTGCTCAGGGGGAGTCTCGTGGCATTGTATGTCGCTTGCGCCGGTCACTTTATGGTCTAAAGCAGTCTCCTCGAGCCTGGTTTGGTAAGTTCAACACAGTTATCCAGGAATATGGCATGACTCAGAGTGAAGTTGATCACTCTATATTCTATCGTATTCTACTTTGAGTCTCTGTATTTATCTGGTGGTCTATGTTGACGACATTGTTATTACAGGCAATGACCAGGATGATATTACTAAATTGAAGCAACATCTTTTTCAACACTTTCAAACTAAGGATCTGGGCAAACTAAAGTATTTTCTAGGTATTGAGGTCGCTTAGTCTAGCTCAGGTATTGTGATCTCACAACGGAAGTATGCCTTAGATATTCTTGAGGAGAGAGGGATGACATGTTGTAGACTGTTGACACTCTGATTGATCCAAATTCTAAACTTCTACCAGGACAGGGGGAGCCTTTTAGCGATCCTACAAGATATAGGCGGTTGGTTGGTAAATTAAATTACCTTACAGTGACAAGACCTGACATTTCCTTTCCTGTGAGTGTTATGAGTCAGTTTATGAATTCTCCGTGTGATAGTCATTGGGATGTAGTTGTTCGCATTCTTCGGTATATAAAATAAGCTCCAGGTAAAGGTTTATTGTTTGAGGATCGAGGCCATGAGCAGATCGTTGGATACTCAGATGCTGATTGGGCAGGATCACCTTCTGATAGATGTTCTACTTCTGGATATTGTGTCTTAGTAGGAGGAAATTTGATATCTTGGAAGTGCAAAAAACAGAATGTGGTTGCTCGGTCTAGTGTAGAAGCAGAATATCGAGCAATGGCTATGGCGACATGTGAGCTAATTTGGATCAAACAATTGCTCAAGAGTTGAAATTTGGTGAGATTAGTCAGATGGGACTTGTGTGTGATAATCAAGCTGCTCTTCATATTGCGTCAAATCCAGTGTTCCATGAGAAAACTAAACACATTGAGATTGACTATCACTTTGTCAGAGAAAAGATACTCTCGAGAAATATTGCTACAAAGTTTGTGAAGTCGAATGATCAACTTGCAGATATTTTCACCAAGTCCCTCACTGGTTCTCGTATTAACTACATATGTAACAAGCTCGGTACATATGATTTATATGCACCAGCTTGAGAGGGAGTATTAGAATAGTTATGTAAATATTAAATAGTAGTAAATAACACTAATCCCATATGGATTAGGAGTAGGACATGTTATGTATATATTTAGGGCTCATCGTATCTTATTTAACATATGAGAATAATATCAATAATATTTTCTCTTGTGCTTTCTCACACTTGTTACATGAGAAGGGACTACCAAAAAATTTATGGGCAGAAGCAGCTAACACTGTTGTTTAGGTTGCCTACAAAAGTAGTGGAGGGAAAGACCCATTTTGAGGCATGACATGGGTATAAACCTTCCTTAAAAAAAATAAAGATCTTTGGTTGTTTGTGTTTCTCTTATATTGCATAGGTTAAGAGAAACAAGTTAGACAAGAAAGCTGAACCATGAGTGTTTATTGGTTACAACATAGTCTCTAAAGCTTACAGAATTTTGCAGCCTCATACAGGAAAATTTTTGATAAGCAGAGATGTATTTTTTATGGAGAATGAGCAATGGGACTGAGAAGAAGGTAAGCAAAAGCAGATTACAAGCAATCTACCCGATTTTGATAAGAACATTGATCATCAACCTGTGAGAGGAACGAGGTTACTCTATGACATATACCAGAGATGCAATGTGGCTATTTTAGAGTTGTATAGCTTCAAGGAAGCTATTTCATATCCTAAGTGGAAAGCTGCAATGCAGAATGAGCTTGTAATGATTGAGAAGAGCGAGACCTGACAGCTTGTGGAATAACCTCAAGATAGGAAGACCATTGGTGTGAAGTGGGTTTACCGCACGAAATTAAATGTTGAAGGTTCTGTTAACAAGCTCAATGCTAGACTTGTTGTGAAAGGTTACTCACATATTTTTGGAGTTGATTATTCGGAAACCTTTGCTCCAGTTGCTAGACTTGATACTATAAGATTGTTACTAGCTATTGTTGCTCGAAAGAGTTGGAGATTCTTTCAATTAGATGTCAAGTCAGCTTTTTTAAATGGTTTTCTACAGCAGCAGATTTATGTGGAGCAGCCTCAAGGTTTTTCTGCAAGGGGATATGAAGATAAAGTTTATCTATTGAAGAAAGCCCTTTATGGTTTAAAACAAGCTCAAAGGGCTTGGTACAGTCGAATTGATGAGCACTTGTAAGGCTTAGGTTTTAAGAAAAGCCTAAGTGAATCAACTCTCTTTATTAGAAAAAGAGATTCTGATATTGTAATTATATCACTTTATGTTGATGATCTTCTTGTAATAGGCAACAACCTTGAAATGATCGAGGAATTCAAGGCAGAGATGAAGAAAGTATTCGAAATGACAGACTTGGGAGAAATATCTTATTTTCTTGGAATGTAAATTCATCAAACTCAAAATGAAGTGTTCATTTGCCAAAAGAAGTATGCAAGAGAGTTTATGAAGAAGTTCAAAATGGAAGATTACACGTCTATGAACACTCCAACAAATCAGAAAGAGAAACTGGTCAAGGATGGTGGTAGTAACAAGGTTGACGAGGCTAGTTACAGAAGTATGATTGGATGTCTTATGTATCTCATTGCCACTAGACCTGGTATTCTTCAGG